GGGGGCAGGGAAACCCCCCCCCCCCCCCCCGTGGGCGTCCCAGCTGCCGCAGAGAACAGCCTTGGCCAGGTAGAGACGGGACGGGGGGAGAGATTTTTCCCGGGGTGCGCGGCAGGCAGAGACGGGGGAGGAAGCCGACTTACCCTCCTGCTTCTTCCTCGTTCTGGAACAGAATGAGGTTGGAAGCAGAGGGCAGACGGAAAAAGGGGGCAGGGCTTCGCTGTGTGACCGCCCCCCCCCCCCGTGCCTCTCTCCCAGAGCGACCTACCGGCACGCTCTGGCCCAATCCGAGGCCTGGATATACTGAAAGCAAGCACAGTGAAACTGATGGATGTGCCTCCAAACTGAAATGTTCTGTTATCAACGCTATTCTCTTACTTGTGGTATAGTCTTGGTTACACCCTCATATAATACCCAACATTATATAGCACATTCAGTGCAATAAGCAATCACATGTAAAATCTTACTGTAATTCTTACAACAGTCTTGTAAAATAGGCAGCTATTATTTCCCCCATATGGCAGGTGGGAGGCCTAAGGCCAACTACTAAGTTCCTGTGGAAGGTGACATTTGAACCTGGGACCTCCCAGATCATTCTCTTAGCCACTGCACCTACTACCTACATTGCAAGCAATAGCAATTAAAACTATATAGGAGTAGTGTTACTACCTGGAGACATGCTTGCTTGTAAGAAAATTACTGAGATCGTTAGAGATAGTCCCAAGTCATGAATGGAACATGTTATTATATCCTTGTAGCAATCAGCCTGCAGGAGATGAAATATTAAAGAAGGAAGAGGAGTTGTTTGCCCGTCCCGGATGAGCATTATATTATACAGGAGAGCCAGTGTACCATAGTGGTTACACTAATATCTGGGAGACCCAGGTTCAAATCCCCCTGTGCCATGGAAGCTGGTCTCACCTTCCACACAAGGTAGTTTTTGTGAAGAGGATAAAAGGGAGGAGGGGAAAACAATGTAAGCTGCTTTGAGGCCCCATTGGGGAGAAAAGTAGGATATAAATACCTAAATAAATACTGCAGCCCAATCTTTATGAACACCTTCATCTTTCATTGGGATATGCCATTTTCTTGTTTCCTTCTCAAGGGCTCCCTCTTTTGACTTTCCATCCCTTTCAGGTTCCCTCATTTTGAAATCTTTGCCTTTCAGGATTTAGGTAATTGCAAGTTGCACATCATTTGCTAAACTGTTAATAGATGGTTGGGAGTTTTTAAAACAATTAGCAATGCCATGTAAGTTCCAAGGGACCCTCCTCTACCTATTTTATCTACCTACGCTGGACTAAGTGGCAAACTTCAAATTCACGCATTCCATTGTTTACAGGTACTTGTTTTATTGGAAGAGGCACTGTGTGCAATAATTAGGTAGGATGCAAGTAGATGTATGCAAAACATTGTCACCTTGATCCAACTCTAGTAATGCTTTCAAACGATGCACAGCTATTTACACCAGAATTTGGAAGAGGGATGTTCATTTGAACGTATATCCCTCTGAAAACACTGCAAGGCAAATCAGTACCCATAGCACTTGGATGGGTATTTGATTGTGCATAAGGTTTACACTTGTAGTTTATGATCCAGTAAAAAAGAGAGAGAGAGAGAGAGAGCTGTTATGTCTAAGAATTTCCTTAGCTGGATCAAAGTGTTTATGATTTCCTATAAAACAATAACATGTACATATGACAAATATGTGTGGAGCAGAACATATCATGGGGGTTACAGATGCTGGGACTAGTTGTTGTTCCATCTTCTGGATACATGTTATGTAAACACCTGGTTGAAGCAGCCCTTTGTTAAATAGGATGTCAGTTTTTAAAAGGTTATAAAAGGTTTTAAAAGTTGTAATAAAAGAAACATTGGATGAAGTTTGACTTACCAGCTCTGGCAGAATCAAAGCGTATGGTATGGTTCTAAAAACATCTAGTCCAGAAGGTATCTCTTCAGGTGCTGGGCAGGCAGATGGCATTGAAGTTTTGCTGGCCATTTCTGCAGTCTGAACAGCAGTAGTTCAGCTCTGTTACACTTGAATATCTCTGCAGCGTTTGTTGGCATGCAAAGCTTATAAAAGCATCCACCGACACACCCTTGGGGACGTCAAAGGTGAAACCAGTTCCAGCTTGGCAGGTAACACCACTCATCACTGAAGAATCATCAACTATGTAGAAGTTAATAAAACTACTCAGCGCTTGGAAATCTAGTACCCTACTGAAAAAATGTGTGTTTATGTACGTAAGAAAGTTATGCGACAGGCCCTAATCATGAATTTGAAGAAAAATCTCTAACAGTCAACTGACATTTATTTTGAAAGACTAGAAGCGGGGGGGGGGGCATTTAAGGCCAAAAAAAACCCCCTTGCTTTCCAAATTTCAAAGTCAGCCTTAAGATTTTAAGTCTGAATTTTGCACAGGTTAAATTGGCAAAAGCAAGCTACTTGGTCACTGCAGCTGGGTGAAGAGGCCAGCTGGCTAGAGGGTGAATTATTGTAATTTACAAGGAATAAGAACAACATCAACAACAGAAAAATTACATATAGCTCAATGTTTTGGAAATGCAGAAAAACCTGCTTAGTTCTGAGCAAATATTTTTCCCCTTAATGGGCTTATGAAAGGCACACTAAGGGATCCTTCTGATACAGCAACCGAAGCCAAGAAAGACTGCAGTGAGCAGAATGCCTTCCTGTTATTTCCAGAAGTTCAGATTTCCAGAATTTGCTGTTTGGGATGAATAGGTAAAGCTGCCTTACACGAAGTCAGACCATTGGTCCATATGGCTCAATATTATCTACTTTGTCTGAAAGGGCCTCTTGCACAGAGAAAATTCTTTTCAGCATCCAAGATCCGTTAAATGGAAATGCCAAGAACTGAACATGTGGTCTACCAGTGAGCCATTCCCTTCCTGAAAGCTGTGGTGCTACATTTCTCCAAGAGAACAAAGGGCTCCATATCTGTTTTGTGGGACTTGGTGAGATTCCATCCCCGCCCCCATGTACCAATACATTTAGACGTACCAATGTACCAATACATTTAGACGTTTGATGCCTCTGTAGACGGAAACTCCCTTTAGTCACCATGGCTGGGGGGAGGGGGAAGAGGCTTCCCTGCATCAAATGCTCTAGGCCAGTTTCAGTACAAGAGGTTTGCTTGGCATCCAAGTAGGATTTACTGTTGTAATAGAATACATTTTAAGCCTTTGGGCCTATTTAATAACTATTTATTTAGAATTTAGATAATTTGTAAGCTGCTGCTGGAGACAGCACACAACGATTAACAAACCCAAGCACTGTTGTGTTACCACCTCTGGGTTGGAAAATAACTGGAGGTTTTGGGGGTGGAGCCTGAGAAGGGCAGGGTTGGGGGGAGGAACTTCAGTGGGGTATAATGCCATAGAGTCCAGCTTTCAAGCTGGCAATTTTCTCTAGATGAATTGTTCTGTGTCACCTGGAGACCAGTTGTAATAGTGGGAGATCTCCAGCCACTACGTGGAGGTTTGCAACCCTAAAGTTTGGGGAAGAACAATCTACCTAGTATGAATTTGAGTCCTCACATGCCCGTTCCCTACAATGTGGAAAAGTAACAAGTGAACAAATGTGTGCCATGTTTATTTGAACACATTAGTTACATGAACACCTGGCCTGTCTCCAGAAAGTGAGTGGGGGAAATAGATTGAATATAGTTACTGAATTCAATAATCATGGGGTACCCTAGATAGAGATGTGAAGGCCTGGGAGAGAAATGGAAATTTTGGGGAGGGGACCAACCTCCATTTTTCCAAGGCCTTCTTTTCAGTTTTTTTTCAATGGAAAAATTGAAAATTTGGGGGAGTGCTCATGGATGTGGTGAGGGGGCTTGTGTGGTTCGATGAGGCCGTGGGCTATGCCGTGGAGGGCCACCCAAGACGGACAGGCCACAGCAGAGAACTCAGACAAAACGTGATCCACTGGAGAAGGAAATGACAACCCACTCCAGTATCTTTGCCAAGAAAACACCATGGACCATAACAAAAGGCTAAAATATATGACGCCGGAAGATGAGCCCCTCAGGTCAGAAGGTGTCCAATGTGCTACTGGGGAAGAGCAGAGGACAAGGACAAGTAACCCCAGAAAGAGTGAATCTGCTGGGCAAAGTCGAAAGGACACTCAGTTGTGGATGTGTCTGATGGTGAAAGGAAAGTCCAATGCTGCAAAGAACAATACTGTATAGGAACCTGGAATGTAAGATCTATGAATCAAGGTGTATAGGATAGCCAACCCACACCTGTCCAGGGGTGAGAGGTAATCCTGTACTTTTGCAGTACATTAAACAACAACCCACAGAGGTAGCTACCCTCTCCGGATTCAGAATATGCCACCAGAACCTCTACAATAATCCCCCTCCCAACATGAGATTAGAGGTTCAAAATCTCAGTTCGCATCTAGGGCTTAACACATTAGCACCTCATTCCCAGAGATGCACACTGAATGCTCTATGGTAGCTTGTGGTCAGTTAGGCACAGGAAATAGACTTGGAATCCCAGTTACAACATCAAAGACCATTTATAAACAAGAACAATTTTTTATTCAGTACAGAGCAATGCAATTAAACCATGAAAGATTTCAAAACAAGAAAGGCTAGGGATGTTTGCCTTAACTGAACATTAATGCTTCATAGTTACCATGTCAGGAACATTCATCAATCCAGAAAAGTCCATTGTGATTATCCAGGAGCACCAAGGGATTTTTAGTAGGAATCCCATCTTGTGCAAGCATGCCTCCAGTTCACAAAGCAGTTCTTTGTTCTCCCAGAGACCACATGTCCAGGTGCAATAAAACAACAAGCAGGGAGAGTAGAGAGCTCACGAGCAGGAAAAAGAACACAAGAGCAGCAGAGAGAACAGAACTCTCTCCCATTGGGAATGACCAGTTATAGGCCCATTCCAGTCACAAATTAGCCCTGGCCAGGAGCCAATT